TCTTCATGGAGGACAGCTAACAGCTTCAACAAAGGCTGCAGATGAAGAGTTGATGAGGAAAATGGTTCCAGCTCTGGAAGCAGAGTTCTCAGAGCTTTGGGAGGATCTGACAGAAACTAGGACTTTTTCTGGAACCAGACAACAATCACCACATTTTGGTCTCAGTTACAAACTCAGAGGAAACTAGTGGAGGAGGAAGAGGAGAGGATGATGACGGGATGAAGAAGATCAACACTGTTCACAAAGTTTCTGACTAGTTTCCATGGCAACAACACAAATGTTGTTGCATTTGTGTTGTTGCCATGGAAACTAGTCAGAAACTTTGTGAACAGTGTTGATCTTCTTCATGTATAAATTAATTTTATACATCAAAGATCCTAAAAGGTGAATTGCTGAGTAGTGGTCTAATGAGTGAAGAGAGTTTTAAAGTTAAAATATTTCTCTGGCTGATTGGATCCTTCAGAGAAAACTGATTTTCTAGAGTTCAGGGTTTTCTATTCATTTCAACCTGAAAACTGATAAAAAGTTAAATATTTGTAAATGATCTTGCTATGTGCTTCAGGCACATTATGATTTTTGACTATTTCTTTTCTTTGTTTTCTTATAGACTTTAATTGAATGACCTTTTGTTAATATATTTTGGAGTTTGGATCATTTCTTTTTGTTTCATTTAATTACGTTAATTTGTGGTGCTGTTGGTCCGCCTGTAAATAGGCTGGCTTTCGGCATGTTGAGAAAGCTCCCCCATCCCCGCCTGGGCTCCGCCTTTCCGCTCGCTCCACCACCACCAGGTGCGTTGTGCGCTAGTCCAGCCGCTGTGAGCCGCAGCTGAGGTTTCCAACCTGCCATGTGGTATTTCTGTTAGCCTTTGTTTGTTTTTTCGTTGTGCTTTTGGCCTGGTGGGACCAGTTGTCCTGTTTTCGATCTTTCTTTTGCATTAGGTTCTTTTTGCTTTAGTCCGGTACTAGTAGTGGCTTCGACGGCCCTGTATGGGGTCGGCCCCCTGCTGTACCGTTTTGTTATGTTTGATCGGCTCACCAGGTCCAACTTTCTGTTAATACTTTTGGGGTTTTGTTTTTCTTTATTTTTTTGGGACACGGGATCTGAGGGCCTGAACTCTATTTTCTTCACAGAAAATCAGAAGAAGCTGAACTAAGAAAATCAAAGTGAAGAGAATTTATGAATAAAATATTTTGTTGAACCCTCATCTTTTGTCTCGTGTCCTCAAATATGTTGTGCCCTTGGTGGACGTAACAGATCAAAATGTGTAAAAACCAGAAGCTGCAGCTGTCCTGGATGAACTGAATGTTTAGATGTTTGAATGGCTGAAATCATCCAGAGGATGAAGGAAGTAGTTAAAGGCCAAAAACATCCAGAATCAACTTGAAGAAAGAAGAAGAAACAGGAGGACAATAGTGCTGAATCAGCATTCACACAATGAAAACATCTGGACTCACCGAGCCTTTCTGCAGTTCCTCACAGCTGGAACCAGTCTCAGTCGTCCATCATCTGATGTGTTGTACTTCTCCAGGTCCAACTCATCCAGAACCTCTGACATCTGCAGCATGAAGGCCAGAGCTGAACAGTCAGTCACTGAGAGCTGCTTCCCTGAATCCAGCAGCCGTTGGATCTCCTGATAAAATGAGACGTCGTTCATCTCCACCAGACAGTAGAAGATGTTGATGCTTCTGTCAGCAGAGATTCTATCAGTGTTCATCTCCTTCAGGTTGGTGATGATTCTCTGGATGGTTTCTGGACGGTTCTCTGTCTGACCCAGCAGATCCTCTAAGAGTCTCTGGTTGGACTCCACAGTGAGACCATGAAGGAAGCGGACAAACAGGTCCAGGTGGCCATTTTCACTGCTGAGGGATTTCTCCATGACTTTCTTCATGAACTCATCTAGAGATGTTTCATTGTATTCTTCTCCCAGGAACGTCTTGATGACCTCTGACCTCCTGCTGGTGAAGCAGTGGAGCATGTAGACGGCAGCCAGAAACTCCTGGATGCTCAGATGAACAAAGGAGTAGATGGAGATGTTGCGCATCCCTTTCTCCTTTTTAAACATCTGAGTGAAAACTCCTGAGTACAACGCAGCATCTTTGATGTCGATGCCGCACCGTTTCAGGTCTTTGTCATAGAAGATCAGTTTTCCCTCCAGCAGCTGATCTAGAGCCAGTCTTCCTAGAGACTCAATCAGATTCCTGTTCTCTGGATCTTCTTCAGGTTTTCCTCTGTACTTTTCCTCCTTGATTTTGTTCTGAAGCAACAAGAACTTGATGTACATCTCAGTCAGGGTCTTGGGCAGCTCTTCTTCCTCTCTGGTCTTCATCATTTCCTCCAGAACTTTAGCAGTGATCCAGCAGAAGACGGGGATGTGACACATGATGTGGAGACTTTTTGATTTCCTGATATGGGAGATGATCCTGCTGGCCTTCTCTCCATCATCACTGAATCTCTTCCTGAAGTACTCCTCCTTCTGGGGGTCAGTGAACCCTCTGACCTCTGTCACCACGAAAACACAGTTTTGTATGATCTGATTGGCTGCTGCAGGTCGTGTGGTTATCCAGAGGAGAGCAGAGGGAAGCAGTTTCCCCCTGATGAGGTTTGTCAGCAGAACATCCAGTGAAGTGGACTTTGTAACATCAATCAGAGTCGGATTCTTCTTGAAGTTGAGAGGAAGTCGACTCTCATCCAGGCCATCGAGGATGAACAGAATCTGGAACTTTTTAAAGCTGCTGATTCCTGCATCTTTAACGTCTTCAAAGTGGTAATGAATCAGTTCCACCAAGCTGAACTTTTCTTCCTCCAAGTTATTCAGTTCTCTGAAAGTGAATGGAAATATGAACTGGATGTTCTGGTTGGTTTTGCCTTCAGCCCAGTCCAAAATGAACTTCTTTGTTAAGACTGTTTTCCCAATGCCAGCCACTCCCATGGTCAACAATCTGATTGGTTTCTTATTTCCAGGTGTGACTTTAAAGATGTCTTCTCTTCTGATTGTCGTTTCTGGTCTGTTTAGTTTCCTGGACGCTGTTTCAATCTGTCTGACTTCATGTTCATCATTGACCTCACTAGTTAACCCCTCTGTGATGTGGAGCTCTGTGTAGATCTCGTTCAGAAAGGTTTCCTGTCCAGCTTCAGTGATGCCTTCACAAAGACATTCGTATGCATTTTTCAGAGTCTCTTTATGGTCACTTTGACATCGAACATCAAAATCTGAACAAAGAGAGAAACACAATAGCAGACATTTCAACTAAACGTAAACAAAAACTGTTTCTGAAATTCTCAGAGGAGGTTTCTGTATAAACTTCAATGAACAAAACATAATTCAATATTCATAGAAAATTAATTATTTTATACCATTGTGTCTGAACAAGAAAGTAATTCCAACTACATACTGTGAGGAAGGAGGAAATATTAGATTTAATTTGTGATTTTCTGAAGAAAACTCAATCTTAAGTTCACTGAGACTAAAGATAAAATAAACAAGCAAATCAATAAAAAGTCCAAACCTGACAAAAACTCTGTAAGGTAACAAAAAATAAACCAGGTTCTTACTGCACAGAGATGATTAGAGTTTGTCTTGGTCAATAAAACTTTTATGGTTTTCTCTGGTTGAAGATTTCAGATAATCAGACATGTTTTCCTCTGAGCGACCTCTGACCTTTAAGATTTTTGTTAGTGTTTAATTGTTGCTAGTTGTAACATTAGACAACTTTTATTTCAGATGTATTTCAGAAATTACTGCAGGCCATTTAGCTTTGATACTTTTAAACAAAATATTTTCACTTGGAAATCAGCATGTTGTTTGTGCTGCAAAGCATTCTGGGTAGATGAGGCTAAGTGCTAGCCACTAGCTCCATCCAGCCAGGTCAGAAATATTTTGCGTATTGAGTGACAATCAGCCCTTTCACTTTGAATCACAGTGCATTGAAATAGAAGGGAATTCAGAAATGACAAGACAAAGAGGACCAAAGGGATGAAGAGGACAGAAACATTATCTTTGCTACCGTTTAGAAATGCCGACCTGGAAGGAAAGTTTATGCTGCGATGAACCTCAGTTTCTAACTCAAACTGTTTATGGTTAGGATCTGATCACATTTTGTCAAATATATAAGAAAGACATCAATTCATCATTTTCCATTGTTTAAATTTCATGTTGGCTCCTGCTGATGGCGTTAGCCCTAGCTAACATATTAAACAGTTTCACTGTGGTTAGCATTAAGAAAATATCTAAAAAAATAAATAAATAAATAAATAAATATCCAGGGCAGCGTGGCTTGAGGACCAGAGTTGAAAAACATCAAAAAACTGATAAGACATAAAAAGTATTAAAGAGCCACCAAACATATGCAGTTATGCAATTAATTTTGCTACAAACACCATTAATAAAATAATGTCATGCAAGTTGCATTTTGTCCAGATGAAAATATTAATTTGCCGAGTTGGAAAACCGATAAACTGACAAAAACAAAGAATTATACTTTTGTAAAACTGTCAAGACTTCCTTAAAATTGTAACAGAGCAGAAACCTGAAGTTTCTCCCTACATCTAGTGGGCAGCACCAGAAGCATATGAGCAGATTTCTATTGCAGCCACAACAGTCACACCGACTAGAAGAAAACAAACGCACCCAGAGGACTGCTGTATTAACATGCTGGCTAGAAGGGTTGCTAGGCAACAATGCTCCTTGATCTCAACTAGAGCAAAAACAATTCACAAGGAGGGAAGACCGCTGTTCTGGAGCCTCATGCAAAAGCTATGGAGGACCAAAACTGACATAATAAGAAATAAAAACATAAATATATATTTAGCTTTTCCTTGTCCTTACACATAAATTTTCATCAAGTAATGTATATATTTTCTTTTTTCATTTCCCCTAAACATGCGTTATTGTCAAGAAAAGTAAATATTTTATTTTGTCTTTTCCATTTAAGCCTTCATTTTTTGCCTCCTCTCCTGGTTTTACTTTTCCGTGTGCATCTTTATGTTAATGAGGAGAGCTGCCGTCTACGTATGGAAAGCAATTTTAACATAGTTTTGGTTTTGCCGCCCTTACATTCCAGATATCTCAAATTGTTCTGTGACTAGACGTTTTAGCGATTTAAGATATCTCCAATTATATTTTGGCTAGTCGAAATAACGTCAGGTTTACCATTGACTTGTATGGAGACTTCAATTTAAGATATCTAAAATGAAGTACTGACTATCTGAAATACACATTTCAGATATCTGCAATTAAATTATAACAAGTCATAAAGTAAATTCAAGATATCTTGATTTTGGTTTTGACTAGTCATAATTCTAATTAAAGATTTCTCTAATGACTGCACAATTCAAAATATCTTAAATTTATTTTTGGATAGGAGAAATGTAGTTTTGACTAGTGAAAATTAAATTATAGATATCTTAAAAGGAAATGACTAGACAAAACTAAATTAAAGATTTCTTGAATTGTAATTTTTATCAATCAAAATTCCTTTTAAGATATCTCTAAATGAATTAGAGATATCTTGAATTACACAGCTTTTCTATTTAAAATATCTTAAATTAACATTCTGACTAGTCAGAATGACATTACTGATATGTTGAATATGTATTCTGTCTAATCAAAACGTCCCTGACTTACATAGCAATTTGAACGTATAATAAACAATGAAAAATAGATGTTGAAATGTTTGAAAATGCTCTGCTTTCATGTTGAAAATGGTTTGACAATAGCAATTTTAGCTTTTCAAAGCTGTTTTTAAGTGAATTCGGTTTGTCAGAAATGAATGAACAGGAAACTCTTTGCAGATATCAGAAGCAGTTTTATAGTTTATGAAGTTTTGCTTTCTCCACATTTCCAACATTGTAGAGCTCTTTCTAATTTGTGGCATTTACTGACAGTTGTGTGCGGGAAACTTAAAATTCTGCACATCATGTGTTGAAGATATCTTAAATCGTAATTACGGATATGTCTCCCGTCAAATGACAGATCCAGTGACGTCATTTGAGATATCTTGAAAGGAATTTGGTCTCGTTAAATGTATATATATATATATATATATA